AGTCAATGAGCAAAGAAGATTGCATGTAACAAATTTCTGATCTTAATTTAATTCTTTGGCTTTAAGAATTTTTTAAATATTTTAGGTACCGAAGTATTTAGACGATTGTTTTGAATTTTGTTAGTGATTTTTAGTGATTAAAACTTACAGCCGAAACGGCACAGAATTGCTCAAAAGTGAGCTGACCTTGCCCTTCCACGTTGCTCGTCCAGGGATTCGACACAACCAAAACGATAACGAATCGAAAAAGACTCATTTCTTGATTTCGTATAAAACTTTTGAAATGAAAAAAAGATTTGCCAAACTATAAAGCCAAAAAATTTCATTCTGCTCATCACTTTGAATCTATTTTTTTCAATGATACGATTGTACAATTCTAGTTGGAAATTGTTCAATTGAATTGTTCAATTGAATTGTTCAAAATGTGTAAATGTAAAGCTTTCCTTACATGCGTGTTCAACCAGCCATTCGACGTTTGTTTTGAGTAAATACTTCAATTCACCATCTTTCACCAAAACTCGTAGACCTCTAATACTGGTCTAAATGAAAGACAATATGGTATTGAACAGTGAAATGACATAAAGTATTCATAGCTTTATGCTTTGACGTTCAAATTAGAGTTTTACGATTGTACAATCCTAGTTGGAAATTGTTCAGTTGAATTTTTCAATTGAATTGTTCAATTGCATTGTTCAAAATGTGTAACTGTAAAGCTTTATGAAGTGTAAAAGGCTAATTCTGAAAGCTTTTCGCAAGCTATTAGGTTGATGCATAAGTCTTTTTGTTCCTTTTCGTCTGCCGTTTCAAGCCAACAAATGCACCAATTAAACTACGGTTGATTTCATTAGAAAAACGAATTATTTTTCTGCAAAATAACATTAAAACGGGTTTAAAAATATTTTATGCCTGGATTTTCTTGAGAGTATGAAGTCGGGTAGTCAAAAAGGGCTAACTCGATGATGCGGTTTAGACACCTTAGCTAAAGAAAACCTATCTTCGTGTCAATAGATAAAAGATAGAGAAAAAAAGTTTGATATTTCGCCAAAATTTCAGAGAAATTCATTGAGCCAATTTTTCCGTAGAGTTTTTTATAGATTTTTACGAAAAGGCATTTTTCACTCTCGAATTTGCTTGAAAGTGAACCGAAATTGATTTAAAAAGATGCAAATTGAACAAAAAACACTTTTTTTATAGAGCAAACTATAGATTAATTGGTGAATTTGTTACTTTTTAACAGAAGTACGAAAAAAACGAAAAGACTTATGCATCAACCTATTATGATAATAAATCTGCAATTGCATTGGAATTCAGTCAATGAGCAAAGAAGATTGCATGTAACAAATTCCTGATCTTGATTTAATTCTTTGGCTTTAAGAATTTGTTACCGTATTTACTCTATTAAAAGCCCCGGGGCGTTTATTTTTTCGATACCCCTCAAGGGGGGGCGTTTATTAGAGGGGGGGCGTTTATTGGAGGGGGGGCTTTTATTTTTCGATAGCCCTCTGCAGGCGTACTTAGACACATAATTGACGTTGATTCAACGATAAAAAAAATAGTAGTGCAAATAAAGCATTCGAGATCATAAGTCACTTTTATCGAATTATTTATTTATTTCAACAACAAAAATTAACAGAAACTAAGAATGTAAGAAAAACAGCATTTCAAGCAATTGATGTATCAGAATCGTATTCAGCCTCTTGTCTAGGCTCACGAAAATTTGCTGATTCGATGCTTGGGACTAAAATTTTATCGATTTCCTTATCCAATCGGGCACTCTGAATTGCTTTAAATCCGGAAGGTATCGGGCCATCTGAGCGGAAGCAGTGAATAAGATGATCTTCTTTTCCATCCTGATCAATTCCTACTCCGCAGATTTTAAATGACTCGGCAATCATTTCTGAAGATAGTTTTTCCCAAGACGAAGCAATCCATTCCAGATAAACATCCATTGCAGGAGGTTTGGGGTTACCACCACCAGATCCATCAGCTTTCGATTTCGTCAATTCGGGTGCCGTTGATAGGATAGGATCCAATCTTCATATTGATGTCAATATATATTTTTTAAAGGGAGCATTCCAGGAAACATCTGCACATTGAACAAATTTAGTCGTGCCTCCAAATACAAAAAAGCAGTCTAGCTTTAGTTTTGTCAAAGATTTCATCGTTTGCGTTAGCGTTAGCGACCACTTTGCGATCGATGCAGTAGAATTTCGCCGCCGAGTGAATGGAAACATCTCTCGCCATCTTAGCAACCTCGAGTTTCGTCTTCGCGTCCAATGTTCTTCTCGGTCGTTTTCCAATCGTTGTTTCGTTGTGGATTGGATTGTCGTCGGCGGGATCGTTCAAACTTTCACGTGAATCGGATCGTTTGTCGAAATGTTCCCGACCCGCTTCGCAGAATCCTTCCATTTCATCTTCATGAAGATTTCGAAAATCGGCGAGTACATCCATGAAGTCCAACTAAAAAAAAATTATTTCAACAATTTATACTTTTGAAGTACCGCCCCCAAGTGTCCCCAAAAAGTTTCCCCAAACTGTCCCCAAAGAGAAAATCTAATATGGAGAGTTTAAACAATTTCGTCTGTAACAGAATTTTAAAAAAGCTCTAGAGAAAAAAAGAAAACGAAGCATTTCAGTATCAAAAAGAGTTCCCATATGGGGACACTTTGGGGGAACTTTTTGGGGACACTTGGGGGCGGTACTTCAAAAGTATACGGCAAATCAACAAAACGTAAAAATGATTACTTAGAAAGTTTAAAAGAGAAACCAAAAAATTATCAAAAAAAGTCGCTATTCCTATGTAGTTTGTAAATTTTCGTACTTGGGGGGGCGTTTATTGGAGGGGGGGCGTTTATTTTTTCGATACCCCTCAAAGGGGGGCGTTTATTAGAGGGGGGGCTTTTATTAGAGGGGGGGCTTTTATTAGAGGGGGGGCTTTTATTAGAGTAAATACGGTAAGTATTTTAGGTACCCAAGTATTTAGACGATTGTTTTGCTTTTTTTTACTTTCAGTACTTTCAAAGTACTTTCAAACTTTGCAGTACTTTCAAAGTACTTTCAAAGTCAACGGGCATATGCTTTGACGTTCAAATTAGAGTTTTTCAAAGTTCGGCAAAATCACAATTACGTTATTTTTCAAAAGTTAATCATTCTTTATAAATCTTTCCAAACAAACCGCCGCGATGGCGCAAAAATGATCGAAATTGAGTTGAAGTGAGCTAATTGAACCAAAGCAGAAAAATCCCAAAATGAAAAGGTGAAAGCGCATTTTTCTGTACACTTGTTTTTTTGATGAAAAGGCAAGGGCAATATTTTGAAAGAATTAATGCAGCACAGTTTATTTATTTTTAGTCGTTTTTCAAAGCTTTATCTGTGTTTTCATCGATTTTATCGCTAGCTTCATATCGTGAAGACAACAGCCATTTTTGTCGTGACAATCCTTTCAATATTTGATTTGGGTTTGAATTGACATAGATGACATCGAGGATTTGGCACACGATATTTCTAGAGCTGAACCTGATATTTCGCTGCCAGTTAATAGGATTCAATCGAAAAATCCCAATCTAGTAATTGAAAATTGATAAAAACAATAGCAGTTACTGTATTCTTTAATTTTGAGAACTTTTATTGAGGATTTTACATGGTTTCAGAACGATTTAAAGCGTCTCTGATAAGCAAAAATTGCTCTGGAAACCACACAAAATCAAGCGTCTAAAAGTTGGATAAAACTACCGTATTCCTCAAAGTGTTATAGCACATTTTGTAGAGCTCAATGAGAGCTTTTCGATGCTATATAGCATCACAAACTTATTCAGGCACACGCCTGAATAAGTGATTGTTGGGATCGAATTAAAAGATCAAATCTTAACCCCCAAAATAAATACACTCATCTGGATTCTGAATATACAGTTTCTTTTGAAAAGCCCTGAAAATTCGTTTGCTTTCATTTCAGAACCATATTTCCCACTCTGTTTTCGAAGAAAAGAAAGAAGAAGAATTTTCGCGGGTATCTTTACAGTTTTGATTTTGCGTTTTCTAGATAATTTTCAAGGAAAATATGAAGCTTTTTGAAAACTCGAGTAGTTGAACTTCAGTAAACTGAATATTTGAAGCATTTGCCGAGAATCTCGAAGCCGGGTAAATAAAGCCACAAAATCGACGCACTCCTGAAAAAGTGATAACAAATTGGTGTTCTAGATTAAAGTGCAAAAGTCACCGCGCCTGCAAAAGTCAAAAGTCACCCCCGGCGAGTGGAGCAGGGTAAGTTTTTTTCAGAAACCTAGACATCTCGATTAGTTAAGCAACTTTCATTATTACGACAAAGTTTAAAAATGTGTGAAAGGGATTCGCCCAGGTCGCCCCTAGGTTTTCCCCCACTAGGGGGCAGATAGGGGAGATACCTGAAACCTAGGAGGTACCTGAAAATTCGTACCTTTCTTTCCTTTTTTGTTTTTTTAGAACAGTGTTTTGCAAAGATTCTTACAACTACTCAAAATATAACTTTACTGCTTAAAAAATTTTTTAAAAATGCAAAGAAATTGAACTCTGATGCCAAAAATCGGGTCACCGGGGAGCACTACCACTGTACCACCGATTCACTTGTTTTTTGATGAGCGACGGTAGCCCATACAAACTCATAAGTCACTCAGTGCACTAGGGGGTCAAATTTCAAATGTGTTTTTGCAAAAATCTAGAGCGTTCGGGCAAAAACTAAAAACACCATCGTGTTTCCCGTTTCCGACTTGCGTAAGTCATATAGCTTTGGTTCGGATTCGCGCTTGTGAAATCTGGTCGCTCCCTATTTATTAGGTTGTCCAGTTATGAATGCGCGCCTGCTCTTGAACAGCGTACCTTAGGGCTATACAATTTTATCAAACCCTATTCTCTATATGCTGTTCAAGATTTCTTATTTATTACAACTTTTCATGTTTTTGACGTTAAACTAATTCATTTTTTATTTAATTTCCGTGTTTAGATGACCGAGACGAAGTTTCGTCTTCATGCCAGTCTTTGGTATGACTTCAAATTGGGCAAAAATGCCGTTGAATCCCATCGAGATCTCTGCAAAGTATTTGGCGAAGATGCTATTTCGGAAAGCCAGTGTCGCCGATGGTTTCAACGATTTCGAGAAGGAAATTAATCTTTGAAAGACGAAGACCACCAACGACGACCTCCTGCGATCGATAATGCAGTACTGAAGGAGGCGATAGAAATGGATCCTCGACAAACTACACGTGAACTTGCAGAAATATTTAGAGTAAGCCCTCAAACAATTTCCGAGCATTTAAATCAATTGGGGAAAACAAGCCGACAAGGGAAATGGGTTCCTCATCTTCTCAGCAATGCCAATAAAGCTACTCGTGTCACTATGGCGGGTATTCTTCTTCGTTTGGCAAAAAATACTGGGTTTTACGATGAAATCCTTACTTGCGATAAAAAAATGGATTCAATATGATAATTCTACACGAAAACGGCAATGGCTAGAACCTGGTGAGGAGCCAATACCAACACCAAAACCCGACTTCCATGGAAAGAAAGCAATGCTTACTGTCTGGTGGAATTCCCAAGGCATTGTTTATTTTGAGCTGCTTAAACCTGGACAAACAATCACGGGTGAAACGTATGCACAACAATTAAAACGAGTGAACAATGTATTGCTACAAAAAGGACTTGATCCTTCAAACATAAAGTTCATTCAAGATAACGCCCGTCCACACGTTGCAAAGATTGTTCAGGAAAAACTCGAAGAGTTGGGCTGGGAAACTCTCCCGCATCCGCCATATTCTCCTGATATTTCTCCTTCGGATTACCATTTATTTCGCTCAATGCGAAACCATTTGGCCGGAAACAAGTTCAAAGAAGTTCAAGAGGTCGAAAAATGGATAGCCGACTTCTTTGCCTCAAAACAAGCCAATTTTTACGCGGAGGGAATTCATTCTTTGCATGGAAGATGGAAACAAATATTGTTAACAAATGGTGAATATATTGTTGACTGAGCTGTTAAACTGTTGGTTTTAAAATCAAGAGTTGTTATCTTAAAAACGCGCATTTATAACTGGACAACCTAATAGATGTCACCTCCAGGAATTATCGAAAGTTTGATAAGATAAGAGGATCAAGTAATGATAAGAAAGATGAACATTTGTCGAGATGTGATCTGAAAATGAGTATAAATATCGGTTGAATAGAGCGTTTGGGGTACCAGTTCGGTCAGAGCCTTTTGTCTCTTCCTCTGAGAGAGATGAAAGTGCTGGCTAGATTCGGTCTTTTGGCCATCGGCCTTACTGCATCCTCCCGTCAATGGGAAGAACGATCGGTCAACAAATTGGAACAAAAGGCCAACAAGCTTTGACAAGGAATAAAGAATTTTCGAAAATGTCGAGATAAATTGAAACTATAAGCAACTTCAAGATTATTTAAAGCTACAACTTGCCAAGATTTTGCCAAGACAAGCAGTTTTTTCATTGTAATTTTAGGCTTTTCGAGTTTTTCGCTCAAAACTCCGATGAAAAAAAGATTAAATCAGAAAATTCTAGTCAAAACAGAAGATGTTTTAACAGAGTAAAACAAAAGTTTCAATAAACAGAAGAAGTTTTTCAATTTATACTAGTTTTTGAGTCATGAAGTTGAGTTTTTCGAGACAAAACATTTGTTTCCTGTTGAAGTTCCCTTCTTTTTCAATTCCAATTCTCGAAAATGTCTTGCCAAATTGTTTTCAGTCTTCTGTGCATTGCTATTGGAGCATACGGTAATTATATAATAGCTAGGGTTGAAGAAGTTAAACCCATTTTAGCATCATGGCCCTGGCCTGGTGAAAAGTGGCCAAACGGGCTCTGGTCTTCCCATGATTGGCCGCAACTTCGACAGGCAAGTAAAAACCGTGTAAAACAGAGAGGTAGGACAGTTCCAAACGCATAATTCTAAGGCCAAGCCAAGTTACGACAACTTTTCATTTGATTTTGGTCTGGTCTGGAAAGGCCGTGGCCGGTTAGATTAAAAGAAATAAAGAATATACGTTTTTCGTTCGACATGCTCTTCGCGCTAAATGATGAACGAAAGAATCAGGAAAAATGAAAAACTATTTCTTTATTCAACCGTTCGACCGTTGGGTAAAGTTAAATTTCGCATTTTCAGACGTTTTCCCGTTTTCCTAATATGTAAATTAGGTTGATTCTGTCGGCACATTCAGTAGCGCAAATTTTAGAAAACATTTAACGGAGTGCAATCTACAGTATCGAGCAAAATTCTTGCAACATCACTTTTGAAAAGTGATGTTGCAAGGGCTTTTTTAGGGCTTTTTTGTTTTTAATTAGAATAATACATGTACACTTTATTTACAAAAACAAATTTGAAGTTCAGCTTAAAACAAAAAAGTAAATGACTACTACTTAGTAAACTACTAAAAAATACCCTAAAAACTGGGTGCAAAAGTCTTGCAACATTATACAGAAACATCAAAAATTAATATTCATTCGGTCCACCTTTTGCCACTTGGCTTTTGCCGTGACTTCTAGCCTTGATTTGAAGCCAATCAATCTCGCTTCTTACTCTAAATACTTGAAAGAATTGATACATTGATAAAAATGAAGGATTGATACAAATCTTTCAAATCAGAACCTTTGAATTAAAAATTGAACCGACTTGGTCTAGAAAAATTTCAAGAAAATCAAAAAGCGTATCTTAAACATGACGGTTTATGGAAATAAAAGACTATTCCCTAACACCTTTTCAGCTGAAATCTTGGAATCCGAACAGTGAGACGAAGAATATTCTATTGGGAAACAACATGTGCATGGAAATCTCTTTTTTAAGATCATTCCAGAGAGAATTCAAAGTTTCGAGGAAAACCCTTAACAATTATTTAATTATCAAACACTACTTTTGCTCAGAAGAAGTCAAGAACCAACTCAATGAACGTGAGTTTTGATACGCTTGTGTACTGAATGAAGAACAAGATACAAAATGAAGAATCCAATTCAAAAATTTGTAGCTAATCGAAAACTCTAGAACAGAATCTAATTCAAATAAAATTTAGAGCTTTTACAATTTCAGTGAGCCCAATCGCTAGCAACTGCTCGGGTCCTGAGCTTGATGAAGAGGCAGAGGAGAGGTGTCGATTCGTGATTACTGATCCAAGTTCTGAAAGTTGCAAGTATGGAATTTAAATAAAGACAGCTCTTAAGCCATCCTGAACAGGTCAAGCTCAAGAGTTTATGGTAATTTTTAACAAGCACAAAATCTTCGTCACACGTTCTTTTTACTTACCTGTTAAAGATGCGGCCAATCATGTGAAAGCCAGAATCTTTTAGTGACCGCGTCATGTTCGGCGCCTGCAGCATTGAGGCAATCGGTGATCAATGCGGCGAAGAGAAAGCAAAAAGCGGCCTCGCCAAAATCTCTCTGATTACGGTGAGTTTAAAAACACTAAATTACTACAGCACTACATTTCAATGGGTTTTTCTATTGGGTTGGTGAATTGAAAATATGGCTATTGTCATATGTGACAGTTTGAGCACTTTCTTCAAAAGAAACCCATTTTGGTGTCAATGGAAAAGTTGTAGAGAATCAAAAATCAAGCTTATATCCAAATTTTCAGAACGATTCAAAAACTGGTTTTCAAGAAATGCCAAATTTACGAATTTTCACAAAACTTGCATTTTAAGCGAAACTACCAAGTGTATCTTTTTGAAAATTTGGCTATAAGCCTAATTTTTGATTCTCTACAACTTTTCTATTAACACTAAAATGGGTTTCTTTTGAAGAAAGTGCTCAAACTGGGTCATCTCCGGTCCTCCATTTTTGAGTCTCATACTTGTCTCACATACAAACCAAAATCCTACTACGAAAGATGAATCCGCAAATTGCCTGTAAAATGGGCAGAAGTCGTCAATAATAATGGAGATTATTTGGAATGAATTGATGGTTTTATGTTGAATAAATTTTAGTTCAAAGTCCGGCAGTTTTCAACTCACCAACTAAGTAACAATTTCAGTTGGGTCCCCAAATTGACACGATCTCGCAACCTTGCCGCAAAGAAACCATCGAAATGCTCAAATACCTAATTGAGCATTATGAGAGAATTGAAATTTCTAACGTTGAATAAACTCTATTTAAATCTGATGGACTTAATGGTGGCCTTGAATTCAAAATTGAAAGCTAACATCCACCACAGAAAGCCTTCGAGTACAAATTTTCAACTCAAAATCTAACAAAAAAAGTGCCTCGTCATCTATTCAAGTCAACAACTTGAAATTCTTAGGAAAAAAGATTAAATCAGAAGATTTTAGCTAAAATAGAAGAATTTTAACAGAGCAAAACAGAGGCTTCAAAATTCAAAATATTGAAGGAGTTTTTTAATTTATAGCATTTTTGAGTCAGAGAATGTGTTTCCCGAGAAAAGTATTTCGTCTTATTGAAATTTTTTCCTCCTCCTTTAATTCCCATTCTAAATAATGCCTTTCCGAGTCATTTTTAGCCTTCTTTGCCTTGCCATTGGATAATGTGGTACTTATATAATAGCTAGGATTTAACTACATCTAAGAAGACAAATTACTTCAAGCATCATGACCCTGACCTTCGCACTATTGGGTACAACTTCATCAGGCAAGTAAAAACTGTGTAAAGCCGGAAAGTAGAGCAGTTCCAAACGCTTAATTCCCAGGCCAGGCCAAGCAACGCAAACTTTTCATTTATGACTGTGACCTGGTCTGAAATGGCTGTGGCTTCTACCCCAGGGTCAACCAGTCAACCAGTGTCGTGACTTGGCAACCAGTTAACCATTGTCGCAGCTTACTCTAAATTTTTCACAATACTTATTGAGATTGAAACAAAAATACGGTATGAAATGGCTTTAGAAGATCTTTAGAAGCTTTTGAAGATCTCAAGTTGTTGAAACAAAGCCAACAATCTACCCAGCAATTCGTAAAATTTCTTTAAAAGTTTTAGTGGCATAAAAGTTTGCAAAATGATCAACAAGGCTAAAAAAAGTTATTGAAAAAGAGCAAAAAGAGAAACAGAGATTCTTGCAAAGATTAGTCATCATTAGTCAGTTTTCTCTTTTTTAGCTCATCAACAACTAATCGTCATTTGTCACAGTTTCATTCCGCAATTCAACGTTTGGTTATTTGAAATCATTTCTGTGAAAGATGAGTGATCATTTTTGTATCTATAAAAGCAAGGAGTTGCTCAAACTAAGCACTTTACTTTAACTTTAATTTGCAGACATTGCTTGAGCACCGTTGAGTGCTCAAACGATCAAATCTTTTGGTAATTCTTCTCAAAATTTATCTTAACTTATTGTTAAAGATTTATTGTTCAGATTTAAAAGCTGGCAAAAATGATGTGGCTCTGGAGACCAACACTTGTCCCGTCGAGGATGCCCGATGAGAGTGATTATAATTGTTGCTGTCAAAGGATCACAGCCAGGGTGAGTTCCCAAGAAAGAACTTATCCAAGGAAGTCCTGGAGCCTGTAAGGAAGTCCTAGAGTCTGTAAGGAAGTCCTAGAGCCTGTAAGGAAGTCCTAGAGCCTCTAAGGAAGTCCTAAAGCCTGTAAGGAAGTCCTAGAGCCTGTAAGGAAGTCCTAGAGTCTGTAAGGAAGTCCTAGAGCCTATAAGGCAGTCCTAGAGCCATCTCAGAAAAAGCAAGGACAGAGCCAGTTCTGAAGCCAAATCCTTCGGCTTGAGCCGAGATCTTTAGATGGCTTGCAGGCTTGCAGCTGTGCCACGCCAGAATCTGTCTTTTGCCTGGTCTTGGATTTTTGTACTTTAGTTTGCTCAAATTTAGTGATCTTAGAATAAGATGTATTACATCTTTTCTTAATCAATGCCAACTTCAGACCGGTTTCACCATCTTCATCGGTATCGATGCTTTCTTCTTGATCCCTTTCAATTGTTTCCATTTTTATGGAAACACACTACAAATTTGGCTATGTAAGTTGGAATTGGAGTAATTTTGAAAGTAAAACTTTCAAAAAACGACTCATTATACAGTAGATCTCATTATCGATCTCATTATTCACTTGTTAGGTCCAATAGTTTAGATTTCTCATGTCATTGTCACAATTTTCATGGTAAGTTTGGCCTGCTTGTCCATCAAGACGTTCAAACCGGCTTATTTACAAGTTTATGGAATCTGTTATGTACGTTTCAAACAAATTGTTTTCAAAAGTAATCACCATTTATAGATAATTCAATTTGCGCTTTCGGCTTTGATAGCGCTCATAATTTGCTTCGTTTTTGGGATTGGAGCCATTTTGTGGGTGATCATTTGAAAGATTTTCAAGTCTTACTGTAATATTAGATTACTGAGTATTCAGAAAGATTATTGTAATGTAAACTTTTTTATTATTTTCGCAAACTTATAACTTTCCAGCTTTGCCTCAGTGACCCCGAGAAGTGGAGATGAGCAACATATCAAAGCCGCTGGAACTCTTGTTTCACTGGGTGAGCTTTATGAAAAACGAGATATGTATTGAAAATGGCTTGTATAAATGTTGCGTCCGTTAACGAACTAACGTTCAGCTCGGATCCGGACGTCCGTTTACGAACTAATGTTCAGATCGGATCCAGACGTCCATTTACGAACTAACGTTCAGATCGGATCCGGACGTTCGTTTACGAACTAATGTTCAGATCGGATCCGGACGTCCGTTAACGAACTAACGTTCAGATCAGATCCGGACGTCCGTTAACGAACTAACGTTCAGATCGGATCCGGACGTCCGTTTACGGACTAATGTTCAGATCGGATCCGGACGTCCGTTAACGAACTAACGTTCAGATCGGATCCGGACGTCCGTTAACGAACTAACGTTCAGATCGGATCCGGACGTCCGTTTACGGACTAAACTTGTCTTTAGATTGGTCTGAAGTTGAAAAATGCCTAAAGTTCCATTAACACCAAATTAGCATTTAAGTATAATTTGTAAACGGACGTCCAAAACCGATCTAAAGATAAGTTTAGTTTGTAAACGGACGTCCGAATCTGATCTGGATGTTCAGATCGGATTCAGAAGTCAGTTTACGAAGAGTTTAACGTAAACGAACGTCCGGGGAGCCGATCTGAACGTTATTTCGTAAACGAAGGCAACATATATATTTAATCCGATCATCCGAATCTGATCTGGATGTTCAGATCAGATTCAAAAGTCAGTTTACGAACTTAAGAGTTAATCGAACGTCCGGATCCAATCTGAACGTTATTTCGTAAACGGATGCAACATATATATTTAATAACTGTGCCACCAGCTGAGTTTTTGGAGTTAAACGTGTAATTTGAGGGGTTAAATGTTGGAGAATGTTCGTGTTGGCAAAGCTTTCCTTTTAAAGCTTCAAAGCTTTAAAGTACGTTTGAAAGTTTGATTAAATCTGATGTAGATCTCAAAAAAAGCTATAAAAAAACCTATTTTTGCTCATATCGATTAGTAAATATCTATTCTATAATTTCAGCTTTGGTGTTCGGCACAGCGCTCTACATGTTTTTGATGACTTGGAAAGCTGTAGTCACTTACAAATACTATCGATATATCAGGTAAATAAATGTTTTTTAGAGTTTAAAAGTGGATAATTTGAATAGAATATCAGGCGAAAAATGAGAAAAATCCGAAGAAAAGATGAAAAGATTACAGTAACTTTCCAAATTATTCACCTTTTTTGGAAACGGGAACTCTAGTCCTTCAAAGATCAAAGATCAAAGGAAAAACTCGAAAAGTGAATGAACAATTGCAATTACAATTGCACAAACTATTTAGCGTCTTTCAGTTTTAATGATTTTTTTTACTTTTAACATCTGACATCAACTTCATTTCAGAGATCGACAACTGGCGATTGAAGAGCAACCAGCGCTAAGGAATACAAATTATCCAACAACATTCCATCCTTAAAGCTTTTGAATAAATGCTTTCAAGAAATTCCCAAAAACAGATACTTAGATTAATCGCTTAAGCCAAGCAAAACCAAAAGACATTTACAAATGCTAGATTCTTTAAAAACCATTTAACCCAATTCACTTAATGCCATCGAAATTCTCGAACATTCACCGGATCAACGTCAACAATATCAATCACAAAGCATAAAAGTTTATAAAGAAGTGGATTGTTATATATCATTCGAAAGCTGAAGATCTCCTCTAAATTTTGATATAAAAAGTTTTTGAATTTGTTCAGCTTTTGGGCAAATTGACCGCTCAGAAGAAGAGGTGGCCAAAAAATGGAAGGGTGCCTTTGGATCAAGTTTTGGTTCCGCTCAAATTGAGTTAATCGTTTGATGTTTGGCCAATAGATATATCAATACAACTTTTTTTTAAATATAACAATTTCAGAGCATCTTTACTTTTCTTTTCTTTTCTGGGCAGTTATTTTACACCATAAAACTTGAGGAATAGCTAAGCTGAAACGGGTTTTTTTGAAAACGACCTTTGTGCAGTCAATTTCCCAAAAAGTTGAATGAATTCAAAAACTTTTTTATTCGAAAATGTAGAGGAGATCTTCAGCTTTCGAATGATATATAACACTCATATACATCTGTTTGATATCCTGAGAAATTTACAAAATAGTAAAAACGCGCATTCATAACTGGACAACCCAATATTAGTTATTTCTCATAGTGTTGAGTCAAAGTTTATCTAATTCATTTTTACTCTTTGACCTAAAGACCAAATTGGTTACAACATTATTTAGAAGCCCAAAGATGATTCACTCACTTTGCCACCAATCAACCAATCAGCCTTGGGTCCACATTTGAATTCGATGCCGAAATTCTCGGTCTTCAATGGTCCACCCTCTTGGGGAATTTGAAGAGTTTCAGTTTGTGGAGTGCCGGGACCGGTGAGCTGAATTCAAAGAAATTCGATTTCAGAACAATTCATAAATTTGAATTTTGACCAGACCTTGCATACAAAGTTCTCCGAATCATTTGATTGTTTAGTATATGGATAATATAGTCTAAAATGTGTAAAAGCGTTCTCAAGAAGACTAGATTGATGAATTTGAGCCTTTTCAAAGACTTGGAACATTTTCATTCGGGCCGATTCTGGACCGATTCAGATACTTCAAACTGTTCATCTCTTTACTATGTGAACTTTTCTATCTATTCCCTACTAA